TGTATGGATAAGAAAAAAAAACTACGAGAAGAGAAAAAAAAAGTCACCAGTGTCATGTGGTTTGGTCTGGAAAAGTAAATAGTTCTTCTGTTCGTCAGAATGAATGTCAAATAAACTATTGTAAATAGACATTTCTGCTTCAGTACGATTGGAAAAACATATATGTAGTTATATCTGTGATCGATGGAAATAGCAGATGAGAACCTCGAATTGGCCGAACCCAAACAATCGACAACACTGACTGATGCCTCAAATCAATCAGAAGAAACCGATTTGAAACATTTCCTCATGTATAGTCGATATATTTGTTACATTCGATAATTTATTTCGGTTTTTTTTCGATTTGTAGTGTGGTATTTATTTGTTCGATATTTCCATGCATAGCATTGGGTATTGGCATCTATTTCATAGACTTATGTCCAATCGATCGCAATATTGCTGGATACATGATCGTTACTGGCTCGTGTAGTCTCGTTCTCGTTGCTTTTGTTAGTTTACTTATTATGTAAGTTAAATAAGAAATAAAAATTTTGTTCATCTCTTTTATTGAATTTTTCAATGAGTAGAATACTCGCAGTCTCAAAAGATTCGAATGACAAAAACAATGAATCGTCAAAGAAACGTCGCTGCTGTTCAATTGAATGTTGGATGCTCATACCGATTGGAGGACTTATCTTATTCTTGATTATTCGAGTTTGTTTTGCAATACCAACGTTTATTACTGCTCATCGACGAGTTCAGTTCGGTGATCAAACAAACAAGGAAACCTATTGCCATCCTGTATTGTATTGGGCATTTTTTGTTTACATAATCGGCGCCTTCATACTAACTGTTTTCTTCTGTTGTATCTTACGATGTGTAATACCACAAGGGCGATGATTTTTTTTCTATTTTCCTAGGACAAACACATGATCATATTTTACGCGATGATTATATGAATGATGAAGAAATTTTTCTTGTGAAGTGAATTGAAATTGAACCATACAAGAAGAGTCTATCTCAGAATCACACTTAAGAGAAAAATCTTTTTTTTTCTGAATGAAGCATTAAGTTCATTTAAACTTGAATAATCATCAGAAACAATGAGAAGTTGATTTAGTTCTATGATCATTTGACATAAGGCACCTTAGTTAGTCAGTTTATCAAATAATTATTGCCAGTCTCAATAAGCTCGCCTCATTCTAATTTGAAGGATTGCTCCCTACTAGAACGTAAAGATCTGTGATCCGTGTGATTTTTGTGATAAAACTACGATGAATGATGCTTATTCTAACAATGTCAAGCAATAAAACTTGGAAATACACCTTAAATCAATATCGATCAAGTCAGATCTGAATTTAGAAGAGAAACTTATGCACGTGAGTGTCTATGTGACTGAACATAAGATCGACATTTATCCTCATACCCTAATTTATTAAAAAGATTCTTGAAATGAATATAGCGGATCAAGAAGGGTATGTAAGTGTCAGAGTGGATAAGTATATCTGAAAGACGACCCATATCCACACCCCTTCTTTACTACTTATAATTATTCTCAATTCAGTTATGCTTTTCACTAATATAAAATGCATGACGTTCTATTTAAATGATATATTTATTTTATCAGGCATCAACAATATAATACCAGCAATTCAAAATGAGAAATGTTCTCAGTGGAGGTTTAAATGAATATTTGACAACAAATTTTATGTCTTTTTTTTCTTTCATTTTTATTCTATTTATTTTTATACGTTTTGTTTCATAAATGACAAATCAGCAGATATATATATACTAAAACTTATGAAGATCTCTATCAAAGAGTAGATGGAGATTTTGTTGTCAAATGCATTTCTAACTGAAATTACATTCATACAAATAGGCGAGAAAACAAGACATAAGAGAAACACTGGTGTAATACCCATGAATAATGACAGAACAAAAACAATAATAAAGAGAGAGAAGGGTGTGAGTGTGGATGGAGTACAAGAAGTACAGGAACAAATACTCGCGACCTTATCCACACCCACTGGATGAGATTTGGGAAGTCAATATACTATATACTTTGTCGATTTATGTTCTGAACATTCGTAGTATTATTTTTTTCATATCACTTTATGCACTGTATCATCTATTTTTCGCATTCAGTTACGATGAACGTACACTAATGATTGATATGATGCATATTGGACACAGTACAGTAAGAGAATTCTTCGAATCTTGAACAGAAATGTGTTGCTCGAAGAATATTGTTTAAATGTGATCCGTTTCGAATGTGAAAAAGAGAAAAGATCAATTGGTTCTCTTTGCCGCCTCTAAAAGATTTATCTCACATGTAGATGCTTTTCGCCATATCTTACATTGTTTATTAAATACGATTCATCTAAATCGGTAACGATTATTTACATGGGAGATATCGGATACTATGTTAAGTTTCCAGGGACATTCTAGTACAGATTGTCGTTCTTCGTTTCTCTTGAAATCATCTCTTTGTAAGTAATCTTTTGTTATAATAATTCATCTTCTGCATTATGCCTTACTCTTGCTTTGTCTTTCTTTTTTTTTTTTTTGCTGGTATTTTTGTATATCATTCTGATAGATACACTTTTTTATCAGGTAACTATCTCATTAGGATACATTAAAGTCAGAGGGTGACATATGGTAAATAAATATAATTTCTGAAGTGTTGATTTTTTTTCTCAGTTAACACATTTATATTTAATATGAATAATTCATTCTCAAGTATTGATAATGTCACTAGTAACAGATGTTGTTCATAATGTACTCTTTTAAATTTAATCGCTTCATTTTTTTATTGCTTTTTCTTCACATTAAAGCGCTTAGACTCTAACTTGCGATGCAGATGAAATGATAAGCATGCTTGAAACTGATATAATTATTATGACGTACACACACATTTATAACAAGCTACACAACCATAGGTAGATAAAAATCATTTCAATTCTATCACTTCTTCAAATCAGATTCTTTTGATAATAGCATTCTCGTTGATAAAAGAGTTCTATTGAACCTATCATTCAACACCATTGTATTCAAAAGTGTCATTTCAACAAGAAATGCAACTGTTTCTGTATATCATGATTTTAAAATGTACGAGTGGCATTGTTCTTCTGTACGACACTCAGAATGGTAATCAAGTTGAAAATTACGATTGTGTCTACAATCGAGATCCTAGTGGATCATTGATAAAATGCTGCAAACGTTTCAAAACTCCTGAACTACTATTACGTACATCAAATTATTGCCATAACGATGGAAAATGTTGAAGTTTTCGTGAAATTTTCTCGCTCGCTATAACACCGGATACAGTTTTACAATGGAGTTCAAGTATTGAAACAGCAGATAATTATGCTCGTATCTTTTACGCCAATGAAAGTGGAATTTTAATTGATGAAAGCGATATGAACGAGTTTGCTTGTAATTGTACCAGATTGGGAACGTTCGGAAAGTTCTGTGAATATCATTTAATCAATGACATCGATGAGCCGTTATTTTCGTCGTCAATTCGAACACAATTCGAAAAGAAAAAAGGAAATGAAGATTGGCTACAAATCTTTGGTATCATTGTATGTTATAAGACGTTGGTTTGTGATTCCGGTTTGATGTGTTTGGATTGGCGAAATATTTGTGATGGAAGACAGAATTGTCTTGATGGTAAAGATGAAGAAGCTTGTGATCTTTTGGAATTCAACGAATGTGAACCAGACGAATATAGGTGCGACAATGGGATGTGCATCCCTGAAGAGTACTGGCTCCATGGTAAGTTATTAAGTAAGATGTTCGATGATGATGCAATTACAAGTAACATTAATCGTGTCGTTGTCTTACCGATAATTAAGAAGAATCTCAAAATAATAATATCGTTCAATTGTATGATTTCTAATAGCTCATCTCTTTTGCATGAAATCACTTGAAGGCATTAGACTATATCAACATTTCATCAGTCAAAAAATGAACAATAAGATTAGTTCTTGGTAGATATATAGAAACAATGATCGTGAAAAAATTGTCAAGTCAATTTTGATCCTAGAATATCTCGACACCTCTCTCGACTCTAGTCAGAAATGCAGCGTTGGATGGCTAGGATCATATTGAGCTTGAAGTGAGCCAAACATCAGACAATATTAATTGATTCAGACACTTCAATCTAGTCAATCAGTTGTACTAGTCATAAAGATTGAAAAACTTCTTGAGATTGTGAGTGGATAGTCTTCGCATTGAATGTCTAAGTGATAGATTGCCGATTGTTTAATTCTACTAAATAAGAATTAAAACATTTTTTCAAAAGAGCACTACCATACTAAGGTTTTCCGACTTGGTTCTGAGTGCCCGTTTCATGAGCAGATCAGAAGTTTGACCTAGCCATTCAGACAGGGACTAGCTGCTCTCATTAATTCTCATAAAAAGTCTTATTTCTTTGAATACTTGGTACATTCGATAGTGTTTAGTGGTGTGTATTTTCGTTCGAACTTAATGCTTAGCAACATGCCGTTCGAAGAGGAAACAACTGGCTTCAAGAATTTCAGACTTATGAGGCTCTATGAGAGACTTCAGAAATTTCAAGAAACATCACAAAATTTCAGCAGACTTCAAAAGATTTTCAAGACTCGATGGCACTTCACAAACAAAGTCTCAGTTGTTTTCGTTTCTTCGTCTGAGCCGCTGAAGTTCCGTGATGTTCTGAAATGATCTATTTATGCAACCTGAAAGCAAACGTTTTGGAAATATAATAATCATTATTGATCTTTATTTTAGGAGAATTCGACTGCATGGATCTCAGTGATGAAAAAAATTTTACGAGAGGTATATATTGTTCTTCGACATTTGATACCTTTCTATGTGATGAACGTCTCTGTTATCCATGGTTTACACCTTGCGGAGATGGTGAATGTGTCATGTTGTCATACTTATTCGAGCATAGCACCTCAACTGATTGGAGTTGTAAGAATATGTGAGAACGAAATTATTATTGTGAAATTACTACTGTTAGACAATTGTGGACAATGTCGAACGGAATGTGCTATCCATTTCCAAATCATAATGATCCGAACGATATGAATAGTTCGACTTTAACTCAGTCGGAAAAATGTATCTATCTGGTTAAGTGTGCTTTGTCACGTGGCTTTGAACGCGATTGTCCATGTAATCAAAACAATTGTTCGATATTGATGAAAGAAATTTGCGAACAAGATTATGTTATCTATCCTGATGGTGCTTTGTATGCACCCCATCTTTTTCATCAATATCGAATCGATCGTGATTGGCACGCAATTGTACCGGACTTGGCTAGAATGAATGGATGTATCCAGTGCCGTGGCTATCGTGTGTGTCATTCGATGTTGGACAATATCAAATTTTTCCATCAATTATTTCGTGCAGCTGATGTGATCGCTTGCAAATATGTCGAATATGCGGACAATACATCGAGACTACAAAAGGACAAATATTGTTGGAATGATTCGCAAACATTCAATGGTTATCCTTATAAAATAGCTGATGTTTGTTCTATATCGAAAGAATGTATTTCCAAATATCGACTTTTGGATCAAGCTGCAAACTGTATGGACGTTATGGATGAGAAAGTCATCGATTATAAATGTGACGTTAATATTAGAAAGCATCGTTTTCAATGTTCATCGAATGATTCAAAGTGTTTGCCTGTGTGGCGCTTAGGAAATAGAGAAAAGGATTGTCTCAATGATTTCGATGAATTTGTCTATGGATTGAGTTATCCACTAAATCGAATAGATTGTAAACGATCGAATGATATCGGTTGTCAGAGAATTCGACTGTACATTAGTCAATCTTCATCAATGAAGACAAACGAATCTTTATTGAATTTACCAAATGAACCCATGTTGTCAGTTCAAATTCCGTTTCGTTATTTTTGCAATAGCTATTGGGATCTTTCGTCGAAAATCGACGAGTCATCAACGTACTGTCAACAGTGGATTTGTTCAACAAGTGATTTTCAATGTGGAACTGGTCAGTGTATATTGATTGATTATGTTTGTGATGGAGAAATCGATTGTTCAGATGGTTCAGATGAACAAGCCATTTTTCTTTTGATCGATCATATGTCTGAGCACAATCGTCAACTAGGAAGTAATTTGTCAACGAAAGTCGAACAATGTCATCAGATGTACGATCATAAACAACCATTCGATAAATTTTGTGATTTTCAATATGAATTTCCTTGCCTTTTAAACAATGTAACTGATCCAACAGATATATTTACGAATCGGCCATGTATTAATCTAACTCAGATTGGTGATGACATTGCCAATTGTTATGGTGCACTTGATGAATCGAATACATTCGAAGACTGTCAGGGAAATATGAAAGGGTATAGTTTTCGTTGTAATAGTGCATTGGCATTATCTTTATGTATGGCTTATGCATATCTTTGCGAAAATCGTTGTAAAAATCGTGATGACCAACCAATTTGTTTTTATCGTTCAACAATTGGAAATTGCAGTGCTCCGACAGATGTCACATGTCTAAATAGTGCACAATGCATTAAAGGAGGTCGATGCGATGGTTCACTAGATTGTCCGTATGATGAAGATGAATTTTGGTGTCCTAGAACCACTGGCAATTTTGAAAAGTCTTACTATCGACAAATAAAACATCGTAACGATGTAGATAGAACTTTTGATCTTCATATTCCATCCTATCCACAATCGCATCGTTTATCAGTCGATTTTCAACGTTTACAAACAACTATTCGAACCAAGAAATTTGGTCGAACAGTTCTACAATATGAATCCATATTGCGCGATAGTTTTTGGTGCAATCGAGGTGTTGCTGTCCATGTCAATGATGCTATCGAATGTTTTTGTCCACCGACGTACTATGGAAAGCGATGTGAATATTTTAGTGATCGAATCACCGTTGTAACACATCTCGACCTTTCACATTTTCAATTTGACATTGCTATGAACAACGACACAAATGTGTTCATCAAAATCTTAGTTACTCTTCGTCACGAATACAACATTCTTGACTGGCATGAATTTCATGTACAATCACTAATTGAAATAAATGAACCTGTCAAACATAAGTTTCACCTATTGTGTAGTCGTAGTCCATTACATTTAAAAATAAAACAAGAACGACAAACATCTCGACAAAAAATTTTCCATGAACATCCATATTCGATTCGTTTTGAAGCATTTGAATTACAAACAAATCAAACAATTGTCGAATTGGGAGCTTGGCATTATCCGATCTATTTTGATTTCTTACCATCGTTTCGCTTTGCCACTATGCTACGATTTCCAAGCGATTATAATAATGTTTCCATTGATTCATGTCGCAGACATCGTTGTCAACGTAATTCAATCTGTCGACCACTGTTCTCGACGAAGAATTTGTATTATTGCTCATGTAAACAAGGATACTACGGTCAATACTGTCAATTTTACAATGACCAATGTTCTGTATATTGTTCACCATCATCACTATGCAAAGGTGATTACTTTATTCAAAGTCATGGACTAGAACAACCATTGTGTATCTGTCCACGTGATCGATACGGACCACGTTGTCATCTTCGTTTCAATTCGTTTTGTTCGAAAGATCGCTGTCAAAACAATGGTACCTGTTTGTATACATACGATTGGAGTGGTGAAACACACTATCGTTGTGTTTGTCAAAATCACTTCTATGGAAATGTATGTGATCTTGAAAAAGTTCCTATTAATATACGACTAAGTACGATAGAAAACGTTCGAGCAACGACCATTCAGTTTTATGAAATCAATAAACAATCTTTTCAACTTGATATTGTACATCAAACCGTTCAATCGGGTCTTGCTGAATATATCTATTATAAGCACATAGGTGAAGTTGTACCACCACTTTGTTTGCTGAAATTCTATGATGACTTATTTTCATTTCGATATTTTATCGGTTACTTTTGGCTATCTGTTAATACAATCAACATAACAAGGAATCCATGGTTTTGTCCTAAAGCGAACACCTATATTGAGAAATTAAACATAAGTAAGTGTTCATCGACAAAGAACTTTTTCTTACTACTTTTACTACCCATTTCATAAGAGAAAAAGTTTGAATGATTTTTGAACACGTTTTAAAAGAAACAGGATTAGAAGCTGTAGTTTTCATCGTTGGAAAGATGCATCGATCTATATACTACTGATTTTCTTTTCCAAGATTTTCAGAATCTCTATCAAACTTTTTCAAAGCTAATGTTTCACAAAAATGAGTTTTGAACTATTAGATATTTATGAGAACTAACAATCAAATCCTGAAAGAATAGAGAAATTGTGTGGAAAAATTTCTTTTTAAACTTTTTCTTTGCAATATTTTTTCATTTGTCTGATATGATTCTTTTAAGAAAAATGATTGTAAGTCTTCGGAGGGAAGACATCCATAAGAGACATCCAATAAACAATGGATTATAGCGATTGATTCAGAACTTTACTCGGTAGATTTTTCTTCTAGTATTCTTACAAACTGGTATTCCATCTGTGTTTCTCTATCATCATATTTGTCGACAATACCTCAATTCGATAAGTTTACCTGAATTACTTTGTTTTCATGATGAAAATTATTTATGTTTGTGTAACAAAGATTATTTGCGAGCTACGTGTTTTATTTTCGATTCAACGCTCGATCGATGTTCTACATGTCAATCAAATGGTCGATGTATTCAAGGTCAATTGAATAATCAATCCGATTTTCTTTGTTTGTGTCCACATTGTCATCATGGTCGTGTATGTGAATTCAACAACGAGGCGTTCAGTAGTACCCTTGATTCACTGATCATTCAAGATAGTGCGATCATTCAAACGATATACTTGTGTCTGGTTATCATATTGGTTGTAGTCGGTCTATTCAATAATATCTGCAGTTTGTTTACATTTCAACGAAGAGAACCAAGAAAGTTCGGTGTGGGTAATTATTTGCTCTTTGTAACTATTCTTAATCAAAGTTCACTATTGTTACTCATTGGTAAACTGATAATTATTCGTTTGACTTCAATGAATCTAATGCATATTCTGTCGTGCAAATTTATTTCATACTTCTTATCAGTTTCAACGTACTCGTGTAATTGCCCAGGTGATTCGATCCGACTGTCGGATTACGTCGGATTATATCGGATTATATCGGAAAAATTACCGGATTTTAACGGATCCGACGGGAACTCGTCGGAAGTTGTCGGCGTCCTAGCCACAGGATTCCGACAGGAGGTTCCGGATGTCGGAATAATCAGGATCCTGCGAAATCCCTGAAACTCCGACACTTTCCGACATCCAGAACCACTTGTCGGAATCCTGTGGTTAGGATTCCGACAAATTCCGGCGAATTTCTATCGGATTCGACAGGGTGAATTCGACCTGGGTGGATAATGACCTGGGTTACTGTTGCTCGTTTCAATGTAATGCTTATTCCGAATTCTTCCATTATGAACAAACCAAACATATCAATTCTTATTAGTGTGTTAACCATCATCAGTATTCTACTATTGAACGTATATGAATTCTTATATTTGAGTATCGTTCAACCATCACAGTCACGTACAATGATATTTCCATCGTCACCAATTGCAACTTATCATCGTTTTGTTGTTACTCTTAATCATATCTTGCCATTTTTAGTTCAAATCCTATCGATTACGTTGCTCATCGTTTTTATCGCACGAAATCGAATGAAAACATCTGAACAGAAAGCCAGATTTAAGCTTGTCTTGAAAAAACAATTATTAACTTTAAAAGAACTCTATATTAGTCCGTTAGTAATAATTTTCGCGGCGCTACCATAAACGACGCTTTCTTTTTATCGGGTTGATGCAAAAGTCTCCGCCGATTTTTTTCTTCTTCTCGGTTTCGAGATTTTATTGAAATAAAATGTCATCAATCAACAACATATACACCGTTGTTATCTATTGCATTCTCCCATCTTTTAGGCAAGTCCAGAATACCATCTTCAAAGAACTTCACAGACAAAGACAAAAAATAAGTTTCGATGTCCGATTTTAGGTGGGCTTGATCATCGAAGTGTTTTTTGACCAGATGATTGCGGAGCGATCAAAACAAATGATAGTCAGATGGTGCCAAGTCTGGTGAATATGGTGGATGAGGTAGGACCTCTCAGCCTAATTCTTCCAGCTTTTGGCGAGTGACCTTAGCCGTATGAGGTTTTGCATTGTCATGAAGTAATCGAACTTTTCGTTTTTCAGGACGATTTGCTTGCAATGCAACCTTCAGATTTTGGAGTTGTTTGCAGTACAGCTTCGAGTCGACGGTAGTGTTAGGCGGAAGGAGTTCCCAGTAAATAATACCTTGAAAATCCCACCTAATTGAGAGCATCACCTTTTTCGGGTGCAGGTCGTTTTTTGGTTCTGGTTTGGGCAAATCTTCAGGATTTACCCACTGGCGCTTGCGCGTATGGTTGACATATAGAACCCACTTTTCATCACCAATAACTATCTGCTGAAGAAATCTATGTCGGTTGCGTTTTGACAACAAAGAATTGCATATGGTGATTCTTTGCTGTACGTTGTCCGAGGTTAATTGATGTGGAACCCATGTTCCAAGTTTATTAACTTTTCTCATTTTATGCAAATGGCGATCAATGGTGGATTGGTCGCACCCGAGCATTGCTGACAATTCATGGGTGGTTAATCGTGAATTGTCTTCGATCAGGACTTTTAATCGTTCAATATCAGACTCGTGAGGACGTCCAGATCTCGGACGATCTTCTAATGACATGTCACCTTCACGAAATCTTTTAAACCAATCTCGACACGTTCGATCAGCAACAGCACCTTCACCAAGTGCAGCACATATATTGCGGGCAGCAGCACTTGCATTGTTCCCTAATTGGAACTCATACAAAATGCAGTGTCGAAAATGAATAGGAATCTCTGACATATTTTAATGAAGAATGTAAATAAACTGGGACATTAACCAATGTCATTTTATAGTACTACACAAGCGGTATCATATGTATGAAAATCGCGAAAGCATAGTAGCGCTAGAGGGCTTTAAGAAATTTTTAAAAAAATCGGCGGAGACTTTTGCATCAACCCAATACTTGGCCTGTTCATTAATGAGCCATTGGCAACGATATTTTCTTATATATACCTATCTTCTCTGTTATACCACAAACGATCGGATTCTATTTACACGTTTGGCCATCAAGTACTTACAAACGTGAATTTCTCGGAAGTTCACTCGGAAGAACGAGATTATTCAGATGTACTTTGACTCAATGCTAGAATTAATATGATCAAACGGCAATAGAATTATATAAATAGTTTTATTATTGTTATTTATTACCAAAACTGTTCACAATAAATGATTGCTACCATGCAAGTTCGTAACGAATCAAGACTTTAAACTCTTACTGCTGTTCTATGATTTTGAATTTTTCTGATAAGGCTATGAGTGCTGGTATGCTGTCTGATGTTCGTTTGGCACCCACACCCTCAGATTTTTTTAGTAATGATGTGATGTACACACATTTGAATGAGATAGAATATAAAGGACAAACATGTAAATCGATCATGGAACTCTGCTCAAATGACTAAGCATTGAAGACAAGATATAATTGGTCACATAATGTAAATAATGCTGATCTCTGTCTGTCTCGTCACTTATTGAAAAATTTTAGTAACTTCAATTTTTGTACAAATGATTGTCTTTTAGCTTGTACATCAAACGATTTTTTTTAATCACACAATGTGGTTTCTGATATAATGTGAAAGAATATGATGCACTGTAAAAACGTTCTGTTGCATTAATCAATGAAAGAGTAAGATAAATACATGATCATTTGTATGATATAGACCGCTAACATTGGGGTTACCTATCATAAACTTATTATGCAACATCATTCAAAATTCATAATTATTTTATGTTTGATTATAGAGATTCTTTTGCTAAAAGAATTGCACCAGTTTGTGTCGAATATCATATGAATGGCAATTGATCGAATGGGCTAGATCAGTATAGAATCATACAATGAACTTGATCAAGATTCATTTTGAACAAGCAGTTCAGCGATACCATCGCAGTAAATTAAAGCAATAAAAGATTCGATTACGTTGAGTAGACAACAATGATTCAAGCATGATACACTAGTTTGCAGTTACATACATAACGATTGTTCGAATACTCTATCGATCGGATAAATTTTATCGTCATATTGAAACAGTATACTGACGTTTTCCTTAAAAATGATCCAAAGCTGAAATACTTGTCTCATTCTATGTTCATCCAGTTGACCTTTATGAATAATATCTCTTTCATAAGTTACATTCATAATTCGTATAGAAAAAAGAGATAATGATAGTGAACAGTTGGATAACTTCGATTTGACAATAGATTTTTGAAGCCTATGTATGACGGGAAAAATATAGTAAAGAATGAAACAAAATACTTGATTTCGACATTCGTCTGACAAACCATGCAGTCGATAATGGATAAATAATTCAAAAATAGCCCATTATTTAGTATAATGCATCAAATAATTAATAGTAATGCATTATTTAGAATAATGTTGTACACCTTCAGTAATGTATTATTTTCGTGAATCCAGAGTTCGAAACTATTGTTTCACAAATCTAAAATAAGCTGTGACAAAATTTTGCATATTTCACGATTCTTTTAAGAATATTATTCCAAACAAGTACACCGATAAAAAGCAGAGTATGAATGTGGATGAGAGTGTTATTGTAGGTCTCCTTCCAATCCTCACATAAACGCTCACACCCTTTCTGTGAATCACATCCGAAAACTTTGGATTCGACGAGCTCTATATCACATCGTAAAAATGCTGTTTTTTTTTCTCAGGATTCATTTCAATATAACTTCATGTTAATCTGTGAATATGAACGTCTTAGTTTTCTAAAGAAATTCAAGTTCTATGCTGTATTATTTGTTTAAGTTGCAGCTTGTATTAAAGAAAGATATTAATGAAGAAATATTATTAGTACTATTTTACAGACAAGAAAAAAAAACAATTCTTGCTGTTTAATTATCTTCAGTATCTAAATGCTCATTATATTGATGTTTTTGAAAAAAAATACAGAAAATATGTCATTTTAGGATTAGGATTTGATATTGATGTTTGTTGAATATCATCTGATAATGCGCTAACACAAAAACTAACAACTTGATGATAATATTTGATTGGTTAATATTGAACTTAAATGACTTGTTGTTGAACTTTCACATGATAATGTAAGAAGTTGTTGCAAACTTGATTATCTAATTGAATTAAGAAATTTCTCTACTCGATACTATCATTTGATATACAATCATATTCATATGGTGATGCACTTGGATGTTCAGTCAAAGAGAAATAAAAAAAAATAACTGTATCAACATTCATTGAATCACTTTTTATACTACCATATGTAGTACTATCAGAATGAGCACTTATACGATGATTATGAACTGAACGAAATGCAACTTGATATTGTTATCCTAAAATAATTTTCTATGAAAATCAAGCATAAACCAAATCTGATAAGTCAAGTTCGATTTTGGTTACAATTATTTTCAGTTAATTAAAAAAAAGAAAGTCAAACTAAACTAATTGAAAAAATTTATGAGTTGTCTATGATAGATTTACACATAGTGAAATAAACAATCACTAAATGGAAGGTTTACAGGAATTCTAAAAGAACTCAACAATATTTCTATGATTGTTCATAGACTTCAAAAAACAAATACTTGCGCAATTACTGAAAAACTCGAAATTGTATTCTGAAGTTTTTCGTAAAACTAAATCTTGCTGAAATTTTTAAGCATCATCTCATGATCAAGATAATATAAATAACTTGAAATTCGAAGAACTCGATGTGTGCATGCTAGGAAGATCTCACAATTTCAATTAATTAGTTTGATAGCGACAGCATTCGTTTCATCCAAATATGATAAATGTCAGTACACGAACTTTGATTGTTCGATCTGTTTCATAAACTCTTGTAATATGTATGGCTAGTAAAATCGTTTTTGTTTTACAATTTGTTTTAAAGAATTCGTCATTGATGTTCGATTAACTGGCAAAGCAGTTGTACTACTGACTGATAATTCTTCTAAATTATCGCCAAAGATCTAAACAAAAACAACTGTGATTATTATAACTCAAAAAAGAAAAATATTAATTTACATCGACATCTAATGAAACTCCTCGATCAACGATGACATCTTCATCATTATTATTATTATTATAAATAAAAACAAAAAATTAATGAACATTTAAAAATAAAATTGTATTCGAAATATTTGTCTTTGTTTCTTCATATTGTTTGTTATTATTATCATTTGTTAGTTTATGTGTGTTTTTGTCGAAATACATATTCACTACGAATATTTTTAACATGTTTTCTTAATGAACTTGGATCTATATAAGATTTACCACAACCTTGAATGTGTCATATATATTTTTTCTAAAAGAAAAAAAAAGAAAATTTTGTTTTGTTGTGAATTTATTCGAAAAACTAATGTTTAAATTTTATTTAAATGTGTTTGTTTAATATGTCTTCTTCGATCCGATGGATTATTAAATGCTTTTGAACAATCAGCATATTCATATTGATATGGTTTTCAACCTATTCAGTTTCAAATAAGAAAACTCAAAATTAATAAATAATCAAAACAAAATCACCTATATGTAAACGTAAATATTCTGCACGTGTAAATGCTTTTGTACTACCAATATATATGAACATTGATATAGTCGAACTTGTTTATGTGTTTTTATAAGTGAAGAAATAATGAATAAAGTGATTTAAATGGTATTCGATTATATGTGTATATGATTGCCATTGGCATAATCATGTATGAGAATCAATTCGATTAATATGAACATATCAAATATGCTGACAGAAAAAAACAATATGTATGAAGGTAGGAAATCGATAATTGTTGAAATTGGTATCCCTCGAAAAATTTGATTTCTTCTATATATAGCTGACCGACATTAACAATTAAGTGCAATGCAATATATACATGTATTAATTTGACTATAAAAGAAATCAAAATTTTTGAGAAGCCCGATTTTCAGCAGTCAGGGATCGTCGAACAAAAAATTTAATTAAAGTTTTGTACTTTTGTTAAAATGTATTGGTGTTGAAAATAGAAGATTACAACCTAACCATCGATATTGAATTCCATTAGGTTCAATTAATGCAGGAAGATCCTTTTTAAATCATACTTGTAAATAAATATTTTAATAAGGATTAAAAAAACACGAAATGATTACTTTAGATAAAAGATAATCTGAACGTTGAACCGTTGAAATAAGATTCATCCATCACTTGAAGAGAGTGATGGTGTAGATAATCGAGAATCTGAATAAATAACGGGTGGTCCATAATAAATGACTCTCTCAGTATTTTGCATATTTCTCACTTATAATTCAGCTTAGAAAAAAACATTTTTTAATAGAAAGATTCCTTGTCAAATTCTCTACAAAACGTAGATATTTTTATTATCTTAAATAGTTTCCATTATTTTGTAACATGCGATACAATCGATTGGTCAAAGAAGCACAACTTTCAAACAAGAAGTTTTTCGTAGGATTAGCATGTCTCAAATCTGCTGCGCTATGAAGGAATGTAGCTCAGTAGGTTTTGTAGACGAAAGTTTGCTCTACAACACAGTATAGTCGGATTCTCAAATACATTTAAATACTCTGAAGAAATCTCGATGGAAGATTGTATAGGATCAACGAAATGATACCTTCTGTTTTTAGGGAAGATACTCTTTACAATGTTCTAACGGAATTTATTCATAATATTCCAGTGTATCTGAAAAATCGGCTACAGGGTTTTCTAGAGCAGACTTTCCTCTACAAAATTTACTATCTCATATATCTCCACAATACGACCGTTTTGAGATATACTAATTGACTTTTCATATTACTCACCAGGCGAAGTTGCATTTCAAGCTTGTTTAGTATTTCGACTATAACATTGTCATTTATAAATGGAATTCAAAAGCATTTTTTTTACCAAAAGAATCAGCGAAAAAAGCTCTACAAAAACTCATATGAAAGAATTTTTTTCTGAACACTTTGCGTTGCTTTTTGATTGGCTTCTCATGAAACTATCTGCTAGAAGCTTCTTGTTTGAAAGTTGTGCTTCTTTGACCAATCGATTGTATCGCATGTTACAAAATAATGGAAATTATTTAAGATAATAAAAATATCTACGTTTTGTAGAGAATTTGACAAGGAATCTTTCTATAAAAAAATTTTTTTTTTCTAAGCTGATTTATAGGTGAGAAACGTGCAAAATACTGAGAGGGTCATCTATTATGGGCCACCCGTTATATTTATAAAAACCTATATCTATTAAATATATTATTTAACGTTTCAGATTTATGATACGAATAGAGTCAAACTTTTTAATTTCGCTTGTTCACAAAATACTTAAAAACACAGTTGTAGTATAGCGCCATCTATAAAAAAAACGAAAAACAAAGTTTTTATTAAAAAAAAAATAAATAAAATTTTAAGAATGATTTATTTTAATTTGATAAATAATCTCCATATATTTATTGGTTAATTTCTATTCATTTAATATAATCAGGTGAATAATTGGATGATTTGTAATGATGAACAATAAATTTGTCAAGCGAAAATGTTGACGTATATATATACATGTTTTATTTTATAAATTTGTTCAAATAAATATAGATTTTCATTTTTATATATAAAAAAAATTCGTTCAATATTATGGATAGTCCTATAATGGAAGAAGTTATACAACAGAAAATTGGTGGTGAATTTCCAAGTTTGATTTGTGACGGTAATTCAGGTACCGTCACAAAAACTTTAAAAAAAGAATTGAAAAAAATATCAGCTCCATCAATACCAAACGATGCTGAAAAAATTTTAACTTGTCTTTTACTTTACAAATGGCAGTAAGTGATTAAAAAATAACAAAAAATTGTTTTTGTAAATTTATTATATATCTTGTAGAGATTGTAATATCACCAATTCGTCCTCGTGTTCGTCGTGCACAAACAATAAAACAAAATACAAATGAAAATGAAAATAAAAATGTTGAAGCATCAAATATTTGTAAGTATATTGGTCATTTGAGTTACACCATACTTATTATATTTAATAATTGAGATAAATTTTATCTATCAATATATAAAGAATAATTATTCTTGAATATCAATTATGATTAGTAAAAAAAAAAAAAAAAAGAAAGAAAAGTTTTGTGTCAGCCATTTCGAAAGTATTATGTGTTTTCTAGTTTAATAGTAATACTAACAATATTGTCTTATTCGGTTTTTAATGAAGGATAAATTCATAAGATTTGTAGCAGTTTTCTGGGAAAAGTTTTTTTTTTCAATTTTGATCACCTACTATTGAAATATGTGTAATCCTATAGATAAACAAGGAAAATTCTTAAGGCTGCATCTGAAGAAGACGCAGATTATAAGAAAACAATCGATTTAAGTTTGACTCGATAGTTTTGGTTGAACACTGTCAAGTGAAATAATTCGAGTTCTACCTAAATAATGAGGTAGATATTCAAAAATAATTATTTTTATTTAAATATTTTTCTCAAAAATAATGTTTAATTTTCTCTAGTTGAGTGACAATAGTTTAAACTGTTGTCGTATCGAAACAAATTTAATTGCCTATGTTATATTTATATTGAGTTAAGAGAACAAAATTTTTATACAAGATTTTCATTTATAAAAGATGTATAATGATAATAAATATTGTTTATATAATAAATAAAACAAAAACTTATATTTTATTTCAGCTTCAATTGGTCAACATATGTCATCAATTAATGAAATAAATTCAAATGAAATAAATTCAAACGAAACAGCTGAAAATATGGATTCGTAAGTTTAATAAATTAAAATTGAATATTATATTATATCTATTGAAAACGAAATTAGTTGAATTGTACTATTGAATTGTAATTATTATATTTGAGATAATGTCAATTATCCATCAATAGGTTATACCAAATTTTAACGAGAAAAAAGCAATCTTTTTTTTTTCTTAGATAAGAAATTATACCACCTTCATCTTTGTTACTCTTTCAGTTATTTATTTCATTGATTTTATTTATGAAAATAATCGAAACACAATTTTTTTTTTCTTTAATTGTCATCAGACTTTTTTCTCTTCATTAATTGTCTTCTCATTTTCTAGTAATAGTTAATATCAGAGCACGAAACGAGACGAAGCGATTTAGAAAGCGCCGCTTGGACAAACTAACTAGTATCTTTTTTTTTTTGAATGGATTTCATCTTTTCGTGAAAAAGTTTTAAGCACACTCCCTACGATAGTAATATATGAAACTATCATTTGTAATACATGTACCAAGTCTGCAGATTGATTGCCAAAGATTCATTTTCTCCTCCTACGAAAACTTCCGAACCTGTACAAATCTTGTATTAAACATTTTTCAATTTTGTCTTTTATAATTATTCATACAACTAAGTGAACAATCTACACAATTAGTACCTAATACTCACGTCAGTTAGGCTTAGTCAAAACCTAAGAAACAAGAATTTTAACCAAACCTGAATGAGAACTAGGCATTTATGGTCTGCGTTGGTCACTTGGGTTGTATGAATGATTACAGAAAACAAAATTGAACAATGTTCGATAAAAGATTTGTAGAGGTTTGGAAGTTTTTATAGGAAAAAAAATGAATATATGGTAATTAATGTTCAAGGTCGATACATGTCTGGATGTGCACTTGTGATGTATGCGACTTTTCAAGAAGAGACCAAGTGAGGCCAATATTCTACGATGTAAGAGGAGATAGGATAAAAAGTTTTCAAAGTGAGGCAAGTTGAGGCAGCAAAGTCTTGCCTGATTTTTGGGCTCTGGTTAGTATAACATCTGTAGATAGTTTATACAAATTTTTCTTTTCTTTGAGCTTGTGCTTTGAATTATTTGTTGAGTTTTTACTTTCGGATCGGATCTTAATTGCATGAATAATATATCAAAGAGTGAAAATCGTATAAAACTTTTATAAAATTGCAAAATAATTATTTCATGTTTGATATAGGTTATTTCATATACATACAAACGAATAGAGTTTAAAAAAAGAGAAGCAGTAGACAGACAGCACAGACTAAAAAGATTAATGAATAGTATTTATCAAAAGGTTGATACATACGAGAATAAGCCTCTTAAAATTATTCTTCAATAGAATAGAATAATTTCAAATACGATAACTAACCTGTCTCAAAGAAATGAAAAAGAATCTAGTTGTTTTCTCTAAAATAAAATGTGACCTATTAGTGAGTCGCATCACTTTGAATGCGTTTATGTTTTTAAACATAAGTAATTATTATTCAATTGAAAATTTCCAGAAGTAATTCAGTTACACTTAACTACTACGACTGGTCTTTTTCAAAGTCTTTCTTAATTTTAAATATTTTGGTGCAAATACTTATTAGAGAAAGTCTGTAAAAGATTTTCTTAATGCTTGTATGATCACCGAATTGTCGTACTGTTAGAGTTACTGCTAAATTCTAATTTATATGAAATTAATAATTAAACTTTGTTGATTATTTAAAAAATTATACTTTTAAAATGAGAAAAAAAAAACATTGATTTTTTTATAAAAAAAAAAAAAGACGATTATAAAATATAAAATTAGAATTTTTTTTCCAAAATAATAAATTGATTTTTTCTTTAGATTGAATATTGATGAAAATACTTTACCAGCAAAAAATTATACTGATGATAATCAATCCAATATTCAATCGAACATTACAACATATGATTTATTTGATAATGGTCAAATTCAATCATCAATGGATGATAATTATTTTAATAATACTTTACCATTTGTTCATCAATTATCAATTCATCATGTTTTAACAAATAATCAATTTGATGATAATATTTCACCAAATGATGATGATTATGTACAAAATAATTGCATTTCACCACCAAAAGAACAATTTCAACATAATCATGTAATAGTCAAGGATATTTTGTCATTCGGCAATGATATTCAATTAAATAGTAATGAATGTGATGATATTAGTACCTTGTCGATTAATGATATGGATGATGATGTATTACCAGCTTATATTCTACAATTACAACAAGATAGACAAGATATGATAAAAGATTTTGATAGTAAAATTGATGCAACTAAATTACAATTAGATGCAACTAAATTACAATTAGAAGATATTGCTAATCAATTTAAAAATGTTAGTGATAAATTATATAATTTAATTGATACGAAACATCAACAAAGCGAAAAACTATTAAAAAAAATCAATCAACATCTAAGAAAATACAAAAGCAAAAAGTAAATATATTTGTAGAAAAATTTAATTGTAATTTTAATTTTAATTTAAGTAGATTAGGTATTAATAAAGTACCAAAAACACGTGTAAAACGTATAAAAAATCGATTATTTTAATGCTGATCATGAACAAAACTGTAAGTATTATCATTAAATATTTTAAAAAAACTGTAATGTAATTATTTATATCTTTTAGGTTTGATACAACAAACATTCTAATGTAGTAATGGTACTACATTGGACACGCTGGTGCTATTTAAATTATTTTTTTTCTTTGTTCTTTTTTTTGCATTTTCATTATACACTCAAAGTGATAATTAAAATAAAAAATTATTATTTATCTTGAAGACATTTAGATTAAAATATTTCAAGAACATATATGAGGCACTCAAAAACGTTTTTTTTTCTTCTTCAGGCTTTTAATGAAGTATTGTAAGGTGAATTTTCGAATAGTCTTGAAAGACATTATCTCGAAAGGTTCAAGCATAAGTATCGTAAATCAAATGAATAATCGAAAGAGTTTTTATAGAAAAATAATTTGGGATAAAAAATGAGTCCTTATTCATCTGTCGAAATGTTTGAATTTTGATTGTAGATCATGTTTAGATTATAATAATAATGATTGATAATTATTCATACTGCTGAGTAGATGTTATGTCATTGATCTTTCATAAATGTCTTAAATAGATAATTTAACTTATACGTTATTTGAGAGAATATTTATCAAGTATAATCTTACTAGAATTTAAAATACTCATCAATTTTTTGATTGATTAATACCTTAAGAATCCTTTGTCTGTTTTCATGATCAATCATAATCACTTCTTTCTTGGTTAAGTATAGGTCAAATATGTTTTGAATGTATATCATTTTTAACACTCGAAATTTATACATTAAAAATGATATGAATAATTTAGAATTCTTTTGTTCCAAGATGCTTGATCTTGACAACTCACCACTAAACTGACAGAACCTTCTTTGTAAATTAACTAAATTTTTCATCATATAAATATAACAACTATAAACTATAGTCATCAAAATTTAATATATCAAAACGAAGAAAGTTTATTATTACAATCAAAGATGTCAACAGGTCACTTTTTTATGGCATTGCCTACAGGTATTTGATATATATTGAAAATATTGAATTCTTTTTAACAGATTTATAAAGACAATTGTTCAATCTGTCTGAGATACATCTTATTCCCTGATCTGAATCTCAATTATTCCGTGTAGTCAGTTTTCGTCAATTGATATGATAAAACTACAAGATATTTCACTAAACAGAAAATGAAGATACTAAGAACCATTCAGAAAATATTGCTTTATCTGCATGAAAAACTATGCTATAAAAACATTTCTAATTTCATCATTACTATTTTACGAGTAATTAGGCACATATATGAAGATGAACAAAACATACTATGCATGTTCCTCACAAAAAGTTTCTTACTATTTATTTACTGAATAGTCTCTCAATTCGAATTTCATTAATAGTTAGTTTCGTTGCTTTTATGTACTAGTTCTGCTTGCTTTCTGTGATAAATTTTAGCGGAATGATACATTCCTAAACAAATGTCATTTGCTCTTTGGCCTAGGGGTGTGCGGTGTAGGTCAGATCTACCAATCTCAGCTGATTGCCTGCAGGCGCCTGCCAAGCTAGGTAGAGTTTTAATATATCAGACAGGCTTGCAGATCAGGCAGAAGTTTGTGTCTTGGATGATACGTAGCCAATCTTTTTATTTATTGATCGATGCTGATTAGAATTGATATTCTAGATTTAAAACACTTTCGTAAATTCGTTAAAGCTAAAATTTTACTTGAAACTTTGATTATCAATTTTTAAATGATACGTTCTAATTCTAAGACAAGCACTTTGTGTGTGTCTTGATTTTCACCGTTTCAAGAGAGTCTTTTGGTAAACAGCGTTAGAAGCCTATTAGTTTAGTATATCCTGCGTTGAACGATCGTCATGCATATTAATGATAACAGCTTCGTTCATCAATTGTGTGTTTCGCATTAATTGCAAGGAATCATAGTGGCATCCAGCTTAGGAGATTAAGGGAACTCAAAAGATTACATCTAGTCTTGTGATGGATGATTCTTTTTAATTAATTTCATTGTGTTTATAGTTTCACCTAAACTTATAATTGAGCTAGAGTGTACTTTTATAGACACAAAAAATAAATATATAACAGGAATAGAGCTGACTACTTGTGCATTTCAACTTGACATGATTTAGTACTCGAAGATAACAAGCAAATATTTGGACCAACAGTAATAATGCTTTCTTTTTTTTTATATGCTTTGTTATACTAGGTCTCATTACTGTCCAGTAAAAAACAAAAAAAAAAGAAAATAAATCATACAGGATTAACAGAAGAGAGCGAGCACATGAAAACTAGTAAAAGATCATATATAAGATAGTTCCAATGACAAATGTAGAATACAACTAAAAGACGATCAAATAATCGAACACTGAATTATAGTTCAAAAATAAATAAATAAATATACCGCTCGCAGAAGAACCGATTTTGACGTGAATTCAAACGAACAACCACTATCTAAGAGTTGCAACACGCATATCGCTTCTGAAATATTGATAAAAAACATCACTGATGACCTACGCTCAACGTATCTGTACAGTAATAATGTTATCTGTTATTCGGTTTGGATAACATCAGCTTCAGGTCTTATTTATTGACATATCGTACGCAATGTAGATACAAGGTGCATTTTTTTTCTTTCCTTCTATTTTTTGTATGTCTTTTGTTTTTTACAGCGAGTTTTTGAAAAGAGATCCTTCGAAAGTTGGACTTATTACTTATTAACTAAACAAGAATCAACGAGAAACTATTCTTTTCCGAATCGAAATTTTACAAACTAATTTTCAACTTTTCTCTTTTTTTTCTTATAGCTCACAACAAAAGGTGTGGGTGTGGGTGGGTGTGGGTGTGAGTGTGGATGTGGGTGTTGGTATGGGTGTGAGTCTTCTCTTTATTCACACCCACACCCACACCCACACCCAAAAGACTTCAAGGATTTTCAGAGATTTGAAGGATTTTTCGGAGTATCTTCAAGGGAATTTCGAGATTTTTATGCTGGTAGATAAGGATTAAGCAAGTTTTTACCTTGCAATCTTGAAATTTTGACAGGTATTTTTTAAAATGAGGGAGCTTCTAATAAGGGTGGGCTTATATTACGATAGTGTTTACTCAGTTAAAATACAATGAGAATTTCCAAATCCATTTAACAATTATATTGAAAAGAGAGCTATGTATACTATTTTAATAATTGATGCTGGCTACCTAATAGTGTCAAGCCCTACGCGATATGTAATTACAAGTGAGACGAAAGTGTTAAAAGTATATAATAAAATTGTAGACACTTTAACAGAAAAAGTAAAGAAATATTACTTGAGTACATATCAAAATAAATTGTATCGTATGCGTCGTAAAAGAATCTGTTGTATCGTTGCTAACGAAAATATGTCGCAAAGAGCACCCCATATCACAAACTACGACACATTTTATTTCAGAGTGCACATAAAAATATCTTCGTAATTCCAATTGTATTTTATAGTTCAGATAAGGAATGGGACGTGTCACACTCATACACATGTAACTGCTTTTGATTTTCAAATGCCAAATGGAAGAAAATTTTATTCGAAATTTGAGGTTTTACACCTATGACATATTGCACCACATTGTCTGATGGGCTCATTTATTAATATGTGTAGGTACCAATTTGCGTACGTTGAAGTTTATCACTAGCAATCCAATCATTGACAGGTATCCTGTTGTTCACACAAACATTGCGTCAGAAAGTATCATGACATACCTTATGGATATTATTCGTCCTTGCAAGGTGCAGATTAGCAACAGAAAATATTCATTATTATTATTATTATTATTATTGGCTATACTCATTTTTATTTTGGTCAGAGTTGAATTTTTAAACGATCTTACCAATAAATACTTTTCTTTGCAGCGAATCGAATCCGATCGATTGCTGTTTGTCACATGGAAATTCAGATACAAATCCATGGACGTTGCAGGACATTTTTCAAACTTCACCAGTCAGTTTTAGTTACAATCAACGTCATGAAAAACGAGCAGTGTTGACACAATTGAAAAGAATTTCTATTAAATTGAACTATTCTGAAGCCAATTTTCGTTTGTCATAATCTTCGCCGATTTTGTGGCTTGATGCCTACAGTGATCCACATTGGAATGAAGCAGCTGAACATGAAATGTGTACATATTTATTGGATAAACAAATTATGAACGATGAAAGATCGAATGGTAGAATCATCGATGATTGTCTCCAACGTCCATTATTTATTATTAAACAACAAGGATGGGGTTTCTTCAGTCGTTTCCATTTTTTTCTTGAACAATTCGGTCAAACACTCTACAGTTCATGGATGACTCTTCTTTCCTATTATCGTTTCTCGGTTTCAAATGCAGGTCGTGATGATTTTCTTAGTGAAGGTATAGTGCACTATTTTGATCCTATTTCAACATGTTCGAAATTTATTCGTAATTCTCGAATGGCATCGTTCATCCTAGCAATTGAAAATTAACCGTCATCAACCATTTCGTTTATCTAGTCGCAAAAAGGAAAATCTATGTTGAATCAAATAAAGGTATATTTCAAATGAAAAAAATAGCAACAAAGTATTAGATACATACATTCATGATTTGCGATTGTTTTCAAAAGTATGAGGGACTAAACTTTGGCGGAAAGTTCAAAAACTTGAATAGAAAATACAATCATATGACTCTGCCGTATACCAAATGCACTATACTTTCATCATGCATATTCTGCGACATTTTACCACCAGAACGTGTGTTTATTAGACTTTCAGTCAGAAAAACAGCGAAAAAACCTTCAAAAAAATCAGATTTATTTGTGGATTCATCTTGAAAATACAAAAACTTTAGCAGCAAATTTTCAGAATTTTGATAAAAGTCAGACGCATTTTCAAAGTTTGGTAGGAGTTGGACGTCTCCAATCTCTTGTGATTGATAAGCATGTATACATCTGATAACTCTTTGACAAAAATTCATACTAATACAGTGAACGAATATGTAGATGGTCTGTCAGTTAGTTTC